TATGTGTTAATTTGTTCTTTTCTTTGAAATTTCTTTGGAAATTGGATTAAATGTTTCTTCATTATGTTTTTTTCCTGGTAACCATTACTAGGATTCAGTTTTCTATTTTTATACTTTTGTTATTGATTGCTAGGCTTTTAATGTCTTTCTAACTTTCTTCATATTCACTGTTTCTGTCTAGCTATATAATTCCTCTTATTGCTGGGTGGATTAGCTAAAAACGTTAAATAACATTTTAAAACAACAGTTGAGCAGTATTCTGAAATGACAACAAAAATTCAGTTATATGTCAAGACTCCCTACCAACTCCATTCAGTGAGACAGCACAGTCAAGTGGGCCATCACAGAAAATTCATAGGCCTGGCATGCCATCAGAATCTACCTAATAAGATGTTTAGAAATAGAAGGCAGCTTATGCCGTGACTACTTCAAAGAATTCTGCAAGCTTGGATTGACATCAGGTCTTTTCACTGCCTGAGACAATCAAAGAATCTGTGTAAATCAGCCTCTCTTATTGACTGCCGAGCAAGGCAAAGAACGGAAGCACCTGAAGTCAACTCTGCCATCATCTTTTAGGCCAAACTGTTCCTTTCAGCTTATAGAATCTCATGAAGAGAAAAAGTTAGATTTCTAAAAATAAATTAAGGCTAGATATTTGGTTTAAAGTTATGCTATATTACATCCTAATCAATTACATTAAAATTCTACGGATGTGCATTGAGGAGTATTCTGTTTTGCTTTTAGCCAGAGAAAGGAAAAATTTTAAACAATACCTGAGCAGCAATTACTACATGCTGTGACTGGAAAGTTTCCCTAGCCACCTGTCACAATGCTGAAATTTTATCATTTAGAGATCAGTTTCTTTGGAGGAGCTCTGGGTAGGCTACAGAAAGTCTGTTCTACAATACAGAGGCTCTGATTATAACAATTAGCACTATTACCTGAATTAGTATCTGATGTAAATTCTAGTTGAAGTTTTGACTGACAAAAAGGGAAACTATGTTTGAATTGGATTACAGGGCAAGGTCTTGTTCACTGATCTCGGACAGAGTATTTTCATAGAAATAGATTACACAGAGGGAAGTAAAAGTCATAGGAAATCAAGCAGGGGGAGGGGGAGGAGATGAGGGGCATAACTCACCTAACGGGTATAATGAACACTACCCGGGTGATGGACACATTTACAGCTCTGACTCAAGCCATGTATCAAAAACATTTCTACCCCCTTATTATTTTGAATTAAAAAAAGGAAAAAAAAAGAAAAGAAAAAGAAATAAACCTTTCTCCGAATAATGTCCCATTCTGTTCTGACACTTTTAATACAAAAAAGTCATAGGTGGTTTTATTCTCCAAAGGATACATCTCTGAACAGTAGTGGCCTTCTTTTTCCGTTTTCTTTTGTAAATCCATTTTTGCCATTGACTGCTTTAACTTTTCTGTTTTGCTCATTAAAAATCCTTTTTATACCATTCATCCAGTCACAAACATAGCTTTTGTGCTTTATTCTAAAAACTGATATCGAACATTGAACAACACAGCCATAATACCTGACCTCATTAGACCGCATAGTTTAAAGGAAATGCAGACAATTAGTGGGAAATTACAATGTGTTGTGGTACATGCTAAGACAAATACAAAGTGCAGGAAAGAACATGATAATGACAAGTATGTGAGGTAATGGATATGTTAAATAGTTTAATTTAGCCATTCCACAACAGATCCACTTATTAAAACATTATGTTGTATACCATAAACGTGTATATTTTTTTCTTGTCAAATAAAAAAAAATGAAATCAAAGAGAACATAGGAGAATTATTTCCCTGAACTTAGAGGGTGTTAGGGATAGCCGCTTGGAGAAGATGCCCACGTTTCTGAGTCTAGACTCAGAGGATATAAAATAAATTCGCCAATAAAGGGAAGTTGGAGATGAGATTGTTCCTGGAAAAGAAAACAGCATGTTTAAGGGCAAGAATCAACAGGGACATGGTGTATGTTGGAAAATTAAAAATAAAAATTTCTCTATAGCTAAACCAGGGAGTAGAAGACACCAGCAGGGCCTATAGCATGAAGGGACATTTAAGCCATATTAAGGGATAAGGCCTTTATCCTAAGAAAAATAAATAATCACTATAAGATTTTAAACAGAGAACTGTAATTTCATTTTGTGGAGAATACACTGTAGCTTCTTTGCAGGTGATATGTGGCAGGATAAAATACCAACCAAGAGGCTGGTACTATATTTTAGGCAAGATGTGATAATGACCTAAACTAGGGTAATGGCAGTGGGGAAAGGGAGAAAAGGATGGAATCAAGAAATATTTAGAAGTTATATTAAGAAAGTATTAGTGATTGATTGATTAGCAGCTAAATAATAAGGGACATGATAGAGGAAGTCGAGATATCCAGCATTATGCCTAATAAAGGGAATAACTTTAGTATTTCACTGAAATAGGAAGAAAAATATAGGGAAAGAGCAAAAGCATATTGCAGAGGTGAGAAGTAGGTGAAAAGGGGACACACAATGAGTCCACATTTGGTGGTAGTGTTAAGTTTTGGTGGCTGTAGGACACCTAAGTGGAAATATCCAGTAGGGTGATATATGTGCAAGTGTGGAGATCAGGAAGAAACCTGGACTTGAGATATAGAGTTGAGAGTTGTCAGCATATGAGGAGGAATTGAAATTAAGGGTATAGGTAGAATGAAAAGAAAAGAAAGTCTAGGAAAAAAATCTTGAAGTCAAGATTTATAGTACTGCAAGAAATACTGGGAAAGATCTCCCCCTCCTGCAGCATCACTAGACTTCTAGTTCCTTTTCTTTTGGTCCAGATGATTCTAAATATATTCTTACTTGAGCAACATTGTGTTCTAGCTTGGCTTCATTGAAGAATAATAACATCTCCAATATCTTTTAAGGTTAAGAACCAACATTTATATTGTTTATGTCGTATCTAATTTTCTGTGCATAATATAAATATCAAGATCATTTTTAAAACCCCAGGCATGGTCTGTGGTAAAGAGAGTTATATTGTACCAGATAATCATGCCTACATATCATATATTAAGGGAAGATACTTTATATGATGATGACTTAATGAATACCCAGTAAGTTTCCTGGTCCCATTCCTTACTTTTATAACTACTCTTTTAAAGGTGAACAGATCCTTGAAGGGAGACTTTGCAATCTGTGCACCATGCTATTTATACTTGAAAAATGTTAAATTATCCTAATCATACTTATAGTAACAATCAAGATTAATTGCAGCTATATTAGGATTACTTATTATTTGTTCTACTTCAGCAGTAACACAAATCCAATTGTACAAACGATTTCCATAATCCAAACTGTGAAAGAAAGTAGGGGGAAAGAGATCATACAAAGATGGTCCAAATAGTATTCAAAATAAATTCGTAACCAGATGGTTATCTAAAATTCTCTTTTTGACAAGGAGCCCATTCTGAACAGATTGTATATATGTCTCACTGGTAGAAGTGGATTATCTGTCTTGAATTGGATTGTGATGACGATGACCCTATTCTAAGCAAACCAAATCTCTTGAACTATATAATGAGATCAGGAGGAGCATTCAGCCTGGGAATGACAGATTGCAATGACTGAGATGATTTTGCTAATATTTTTTGCAGCCTCTTTCCTTTATGTACATGATATTGTGGTTTTTTCCTTCAGAGACCCCCGATCCTGTAGTTTTGTGTGCTAATTCTTTCTTCTTCTTAATATTTTTTTTTTAATTTTTACAAGCAGAGCTGAATGAGTGGCAGGAAGCTGCGGAATCTATCTTACAAAAAGGTGATTGTGGAAGAGTCTAGAATCTTCATTTACTTTGCAGCAGGATTAGAGAAAAACTATCAAGAATAAACACTTAACTGATTCACTCTTACTCCTTCTTCTCTTTAGGCCGTGAGGAGGCAAAAGTTGCTTGAACAGAGTATCCAGTCTGCCCAGGAGATGGAAAAATCCTTACACTTAATTCAGGAGTCCCTCACATTCATTGACAAGCAGTTGGCAGCTTACATTGCCGACAAAGTGGACGCAGCTCAAATGCCTCAGGAAGCCCAGGCAAGTACATCTGGGAATGAGCTTCTGTTCTTTTGTTTTTATTACCTAAACAAAATATTGCTGACTTTTTATTATAACTTGAAGTTTACTCAACTAGTTGTGCAGGAGGTTATTTTGATTGACTGACGTGACTATTTGGAAGTAAGAGGAAAAAAAGGGTCTAGATTAGTACTCTAAGGTTTATTTTTGAAAGTATGTAATAGAGGAATTTCAAATAGAGACCCTTAAAAGACAGAAACACTAAGATCTGCTGTTTATCAATGTTTTCAAACTATACTAAAGCTAGAGGGAAACCATACACATGTAAATGGTAAAGAAAATATGTTTTATGGTACTATTAAAAAGCAGTCTCAAACAACTCGTCTGTGTTATCATGGAATCACAAAGCACATGATATCTATATTGTTTTACACTAATGTTCTATAAGCACGTAACAAAATTATCGATATAAATTTGTGTCTTATTGCTAATGATCATACTGGACATACTCACATGCACACACAAACACATCCATATACATTCAAGTCTTAATTCAGTCCTAACTATGAAATGTGGTTAACCAGTTTTTTTTAGAATGAGAGTTAAAATAATAATGGAAATAAATCTAAATTGACTTTAAAATTTGTAAATTTAGGCCATATCTAAATTTACATTCACTTAAAGAAGGACTTTTAAAATGTTAAGTTTCTATT